GTATTAGTCTCTCAGTTATTGGCCATGTGATCTGAAGCAAGTTATTTAAACTCTCTGAGTTTCAAGTTACTCTCCTATAAAATGGAGGTCATGATATCATGTATGGGTCTCAAAGGAGATCCTCATAATCAACATTTATTGAGCTAAGCCTTGTTATCTGCTGGGCACTGAGCTGAGTAGTTTGTTTATACTGACTCTCTTGGTCCTCCCAACAACCTTATGAGGCAAGCACTCATTTGTTCTCATTATGATGAGAAAATTGAGGCACAGAGGGGTTGTATGACTTGTACAAGATTATACAGATATTTGGCTGCAGAATGGCATTTGAACCCATACCCTTCACCACTACATGGTCTTGCCTTGTAAATCGCAAAGCCATGACTGTTGGAATTGCTGAGGGGAGATGACAGGACCAGGATGGGAACGATGCTGGGTGGCACATGTTTAGCTAGAAAAATGGTCTCCTAAAAGAAGGTCTGGGGACAGAACTGGCCTAGTTTGGGACCTATGGATTTTTGAGTGATGTGGGCTACCCAGGGAGTTGGAGAAGGAGACCACAGAGATAGAAGGGACCCTACAGAGCATATCGTCCCATGGCTTCAATTTAAATATTTAATCATTTTTGTGATAAATCTATGAACTTTGTTGAAGTACTTTACACATACAGAAAATTGCTCAAATTATTAAGCACATGCTCCATGAATTTTCAAAGTGAATACAGCCATGTAACCAGTACCCAGATCAAGAAATAGAACGTTACCAGCTCCAGTAACTTCCCTCATGTCTCCCCTCACTGCCCCTGCCCCCTTCCATTCACTGTCCCTCCCAAGATTAGTCATTATCCTGACTTCTAATGGGTTAGTTTTGCCTGTTTTTGAACTTTGTATGATTAGAACGATAGAGTATATGCTCTTTTGTCTGATTTTTTTCACTCAGCACTATATTGAGATACATTTCTATTGCTGCTTGTAGTTGGAAATTGTTCATTCTCACTGCTGTATAATATTCCACTATGTAATTATCACAATTTATTCATCGATTCAACTGTTAATGGGCATTTGAATGGTGTTACTATGAACTTTCTAAAACATGTATCTGCGTGCACAAATTTAGTCGTTTTTGTTGAGTGTAACCTAGAATTGAAACTGTTGATCATAACGAATGAGGGACGTTCAGCTGTAGCAGATACTGCCTTGGCTTTGCTTTACTGATGATGGAAATGAAAGTATAGGAAAGGCAAAGATTTGTCCAAAGTCACCCAGCTACTGAGCCAGGACCGGAAGCTGGCTAATTCTCTCCAAGGGCAGTTTGTCCAGGTCTAGATTTCAGGGAGAGACTGGCCTGGGGATTCAGCAGAGTTTCACAGCAACACATTTAACTCATGAGCTGTCCTTCTCATCTAACCCTTGGGTAACATGACACCAATGACCAAGCATGAGAGGGGCTACTGAGCAGTGGGGCCGTAACTGTAAATATCCATTGAGATTGGGGAGAGCTGGCACATCTTCTCTGCATCTCATCAAAGAACAGCACGTGTGTGTCCCTGATTATGCTAGATTTAGATTCAGTCTACTTCAGTGCCAGGCCCTGTGCAAGGTCCTTTCCTGTATATTATCTCATTTAATCTCCTGAACAAACACCAGATCAATTCATATCCATAAGGACTGTGAAAGCATAACATCAAAAGAGAGTCTATAAACTCTGTAAGCAAACCAGAGCAATTTAGAACAGTGCTTTTCAAATAATCGATGGCGAAGGACGAATTCATCATAGATCAATATTTTGTAAAATACAATAAAGAAAGAATTATTAGAAAAATAAAATGAAAAGACATTCAAAATATAAGCTTCCAATTTTTATCATTAGATTAAACAAATACAAAATTGCATTGTTAAATTGCTATAAAATTTTCTAAACACTCAGTTTCTATTTTTATATCATTGAGGACCAATAACAGCTTGCGGATCAATATTGGTTTCAGACTACACTTTGAGGAGTACTGATTTATAATTCACCATCCATTCTCCCTTGGACTTTCAAGAGAGACTGATAATTATCCTAGAGGCAGAAAGGTTTGAATAACAAGCCTTCTGCATAATACTGAGACTCTGGAAACCTCTCACACCCATACGATCATTTCCCCATCTTTATCAACATAACTTTATTCCAAAAAATTCCTGCAGAGAAAGATTAAACTTACAAATAACTTTATTGTTTTTTTCAAGAACTTCCCCCCAAATCTCATTGAAATTAACATAGAATCCTTAAACTTCTCAATAGATACCATTAAAAAGACTATTTACTCTCGTCTTGCCTTGCGTCCACCAATCCTATACTATTATATCACAATCCTTAGCCAAAATAAAACAAGCATCACCGCATGGAAAGACCTGCCTTAAACCAGATTCCAAAACTTTATAAATAACCCCGCTTTACCCTCCCCCAGTCTGAGATGCTACTGAGACTCTGCCAAGGCAAGGCTCTCTTTACCGTGTATGATAAACTCAGCTTTGCCTTCTCTACAGCTTGTTTTGCTGGTATTTTCTGGGAGCCAGCATCCAACAGTCAAGTCTTTCCTTTGTTTGTTCCTCCTATTAGTCTTGTTCACTCGCTTTCCAACTTTAGCATGCATAAAAATTACCAAAAAGTGGGGGCCAGCCAGTGGTGTAGTGGTTAAGTTTGCACACTCCACTTCAGCGGACTGCGGTTCACAGGTTCAGATCCCAGGCATGGACCTACACACTGCTCATCAAGCCACGCTGTGGCAGTGTCCCACATACAAAACAGAGGAAGACTGGCACAAATGTTATCTCAGTGACAGTCTTCCTCAAGCAAAAAGAGGAAGGTTGGTAACATAGCTCAGGGCCAATCTTCCTCACGCACATACACAAAATTACCAAAGAGGGTTGTATATGCAAAAGCATGCACAAGCAATTTAAGAGATCTCCATGTACAATTTTGATCATGCCATATTTGGGACCTAAGCACTGCATAGAGATATCAGCAATTGGTGAAGAATAGAGAATCATGGAATGTTAGAGCTGAAAGTGGCTCTAGATGCCCAAATATCACTGCATGGACCAGCTATCTCAAAATCACCTGATATCATCCCTGTTAAAAAATACCCACCCCTTGGTTTTGCCTCAGAGGTACTGAATCAGAGTTTCTAGAGATGGGGCCTGTGAACGTTTGCAGCAAACTCTTTAGCGGAATGAGATGCACAATCGCGTTTGAGAACCACTGTTCTGTTCCACCACTTCATCTTGTAGATGAAAAAATGGAGATTCCGAAAGGGGAGTAAACTGGCCCAAGATCACCTGGCTATTGAGCCGTGTGTCTCCTGATTCCCTGGCACGAGTGCCCAGGGCTAGAGATCAGATTTTGGAGATGTCCTTATGTATCCAATATCTGAACAAGAATGATTAATGATGTAATCAAACCACAATTCTATTTTGGCTTCTCACCATTAGATTTATCAAGATGGTAGCTGGAGGAGGGGAAGAGGGTGTCGTAATCTTCCCCTGCTCCGGGGCGAACATTCTAGCAGTCATCATGACTTCTCTGCTTTCAATCAGGTAAGAGGCACCAGCTAAGGCATAATTTTCAAAAGAGGTAAACTTATGACTCTCAAGCAAGGATAAAATGAACACATACTCTGCTGAGAGTCTGAATCTGTTGACCCTCTTGTTTGTTCTGCTCAGGAATTGTCACTTGTCATTTTGCTGATTAGCTCAAGTTAAGGCAGATGGGTTATTAAAAGGCTTCAGGAACATGTCCTAGGAAGGAAGCGCAGCCAGCCCTCCTGGGAACTGCAAGGGAGCACCGGGAAGAGATTCAAGGTCCAGGCAGCTACTTCCCACAATTGTTCATTACTCAGACCACATGGCTTCTTGAGCAAACTTCTTTGCTCTATTCTTTCGTTTCTCTATTTATCAGCATGCATACGGCTAAAGATGGCTACCCCAGTCTTGAGTCTGCAGGATCATCACTAAGTGCTCAACTTTGGACAACAGTCTCTGGAGCTTAGTTCGGTTCTCCCTGGAGACCATCTGATTGGCAGATCTCCAGTCAAGTAGTAGTCCTTTGGGTCAGGTGATCACCCAGGGTCAACCAGCTGTAGCTGCTTGGAGGAAACAGTTGCCAGGGGGCCGTGTGAGTCTGTATGTGAACGAGAGACGGCCAGAAGAGCCAAGCGAGAACTTCAAGAGGGCAGGCACAATAAAACCTGCTGGTAATCATGTCTAGCGAGACTCACTGAAACATTGGGGTTTATGCCACTCCCTGTTAGCCCGAATGAGTCTGGTCATCACTCTGTTGCTTTTATGTAGGTGGCATAAGTTTGGGAGGGGGTGGTCTCACAGGAGCCCATGGTGGTACCTTCCAACTCGTTTCCACCAGCATTTGGGATCCTCCTTTGCACAAGTCATTGAGCTCCAAGAAACTGGGGTGTTTGTAAGAAGCAGCAGCCTAGGCCCTGCGCTCGTGGACTTAAACTTCTCGGTCTTGGATGGGGGTGAAGAGGAGGTTGACAGCCAGGGAGAGGGGCAGGAACAGTTGGATGTGCCCCGCTCATGGGGCCTGAACCCATTTTGGTTCACTGTTTCTTCCCAGAGCTGGCTCGCTCTCTTTTGTGGGCACAAGACATGGGCCTCACAGCTGTCCAGGTGGAAATCAACGAGAGGGAAGAGCGAGCTCCTCACCAGCAGCCGGGGCCAAGGCACTGGGAGACGGAGGAGCAGGTGGGTTCGGTCCAGCAATGACTGAACCCCCATTTGTGCCCGGATCTGTGCTGGGTGCAGAGCCAGGGAAAGGAGGCTCCCCAGCTGGAGGGTCACCACCCAGAAACAGATCAGACCCCGCGTCCTGCAAGGGGCAGATGGGGCATCCTCCCGGCTCGGGCGGGCAGCCGCGGGGCGCGGGGCGCAGGCCCGGCCGGGGCGAGGGCCCGGAGCGCGCAGCTCCTGCCGGGCGGAGGGCGGCGCGAGGGAGGGAGAGAGGGAAGGGAAAGGCGAGCGCGAGCTGCCTCAAATGCTTGGAATAATTCCGCTTCCGTTTGGAAAGCCGCAGCCTCCGTCCCGCCGCCGCGTCCGCCCAGCGCCAGCTCCGCGTCCCCACCGGCCCGCGCTGCCCGCTCCGCCGCCATGGCCACCTCCCCGCAGAAGTCGCCCTCTGTCCCCAAGTCCCCCACTCCCAAGTCGCCCCCGTCCCGGAAGAAAGATGACTCCTTCTTGGGGAAACTCGGAGGGACCCTGGCCCGGAGGAAGAAAGCCAAGGAGGGTGAGTGCGGCCGGGCCAGCGAGCGGCGGGGGCCGGGGCCGAGGGGCCGGGGGAGAGCGGGGCCGGGCGGGAGCGCGCGCGGGTGCCGGGGGCGGAGGCGGGTGGCGGCGGTGGCGCGAGCGCGCGCTTCCCGGTAACCTGGTGCCGCGGCCGTGCGCGCCCCGCGGCCCCGTCGCCCTGCTTGTGGTCGGCCCGCGCTGCGCTCCGGGCCTGGGCGCTCTGGTGGCGCAGGCGGAGGACTGGGACCCGGCGACGCCCGCGCTGGGCCTGGCGGCTCCGCGTGGCCCGAGGGCCGAGGAGGCGGCGGCGTCCTCCCCTAGGCCCCGAGTCCCCGCCTCTCCGCGCCCGTAGGCTGGCATTTCCCGAGTTAGTGCAGAAACTTTTCTGGGCGCCGTCAGTCTCACTCTTCGCCTTCATTGGTCTTTGCCATCACGTCGTTTCCTAGACCTGCTGAAGTCCAGATGCAGCGGTGGCCTCTTTGATCTTTTGTCCATTCCCAGGGCCCGGCAGGGCTCTATTAATGAGTAGATTAACATCAAATGCTTGTTGAGTGAATGAGTGAAAAGCTGGCTTTCCTAGTGGTCCCACCGTGTAATAAATGATCAACTGGCACCCAAGGGGAAAACCTGGATTAGACACACACACTTAGCATCATGGCTGCGACCCTTCTGTGAACTCAGGAGCTGAGGGCTCCTGCAAAAACCATTTCCTTTTTCCCACCGGGGTGAATTGAGGCGATCTTAGTTTTTTCCAGGACAGTCTGCCTGTAAAATATTTGGTCTCTTGGGCAGATTTCACATCCTGGTTTTTGGTTTGAAAAACGAGATCTCACTTCTGAAGACGCATTAGTGATAGATGTGTAGAGGTTGTTTGGTTAAGAAAAATTTTTTCCATAGTTTCAGTGATTTGGGAATAACCCTTCTGAAGGCCGTGATGCTGAGAGGGAAAACAAGTTTCACGTTCTGAGTTATCCTAAAGCGTAAAAAAGAACTTCAGTGTTGAGAATCACCAAACTTCACGCAAAGAACTAGACTTCTGTTCTCTGTTTTGATGTGAAAAGCAGCAAAACACATCCCCCAAAATGTTTTCCCCCAGTGTGGTTATTTTGGTAAAGCATTGTCTGAGTAGAGTGCTTTGGTACCAAATCATGAAATCCTGGCTTGGAAAGTCCTTTTCTAGACTCCCTTTCTAATTTTCCCTACAGTATTCCTGATACAGGCTCTCTGGCTTCAGACTGGGCAACTCAGAATTTCTGAAGCTCGTGTCCTACCAGGAGAGCTCACCCCACCTTTGCCAACTCTTTAGAAAAGTTTACTTTATAGTAAAAGTAAAAAGCTGGTGTCTCTGTATCTACTGTTATTCTATTCATGGAACCAGGAGAATGAGTCTAAGGGTGGCCCTTCATTTTGTTGGTGTGGACAGCCTGCTTCCTGGAGTCTTCCCTTCACCAGCCGAAACATCCTCTTTTCTGGTAGCTGGGCCGCATAGACATGATTTTTTGGCCCGTCGGCATCCTGACTCTCCAGTTTTGGTCAGGGTTCCTGCAGGAAACAGAGGTCAATTTAGTTGGGATTTTGAAAATAATGTCAATGAAGGGACTATTTACAGAGGTGTGGCCAGGGTTAAGGGAACCCAGAAGGAATGATCAGGAACCTTCAGGCTAACAGCGGACGGGGGAAGCTGTTACCACCCCAAGACCCGAAGGGACAAGGGGACCCATTGAGTGTAACAGGAACCCATTGAGAGCTGGCGCTGTGGCAGGCGGGCTGCCTGACGGGAACTGTAGCTGCAGAGGGGCATAGCCTCTGTGGGAAACGTGCGGGTGGACAAGGGGGACAGTGGCACAACAGGGACTCTGCGTGTTCCCTCTCTCTTCTTAACCTTGAATCTCTTGTTGGCGTTTCCCATTGGCTGGACCCAGTGGGAAGTCACGGGGACAAGGGCATCTGGGTGATGCATTATGAAGGGGTCAGCTCCCTTAGGGCACAGAGCAGTGCGGGAGTAGATTGTAGTCAGGGAGGGGGCTTGGAGAATAACTGGCAGACCCTCTCAAAGTGAGCTGCCCAGAGGTCAGCATAGTGCATAGCAGCCCAGTCCAGCCAGCACAGGTGAGAACAGGACTGTCACCTCCTTTGTTCTGGCATAGACACCATGTTCTCTGAACGCAGCTAAGCTGCTTTTCTTTATTCTTCTGCCAGCTGCGTCACACTGTTATCTCTCATGGCGCCTGCTATCTGCTTACTCGAAGACATTTTTATGTTTGTTGCTCCTAAGCCATTTCCTTCGCCATCTCAGATTTCCTCCGTTGGGTTTTTGAAACCAAGTGCAAGATCTTATTTTCATCTTTGTTAAACTTAACTGCTAAGTCCTGATTGTGTCGTTCAGTCCATGAGCTGATCCGGGGGATGTAAGTGGGTGAGTTGAAGAGCACGTGCTTTTTCTAATGGGGCCCACCGTCACCCAGCTCCAGCTGCTCGCTGCTGCCCGTGGTGGTTCTGTGAGCCCAAAGAAGGCAGTGGGGTTGGTCTGAAATGACTTGCTCTTGGTGAGTGTGTGCTGGGTCTCAGGAATCAAAGGCGCACTAACCATCACTTCAGTAACAGTATGGCTAGATCTTGCTCTGGATCCTGCAGAAATGTCCTAGCAGAACCTGCATAAATGTCTAGTGTCCTAGAACCTCCCATTCTTCATGATTCCTCAAGATTGCTGACATCGGTCTGTCCGCAGATTATCTCCGTGCTTTGGCATAGAATTCTCCTGGGCCCGACGACTACCGTTCATTCCTCTGAGACCTGTTGTGTCCCACTGTAGGACCCAAAGATTGGAAAAGCAGTAATACACGTTAGTTAGAATATTTAGGTCAATAATTTCATATAAAAATATATCTTCCTAAGAATTCCTACTATATGCATCATAGAATGACTTCGTCTCATAAAAATACATTAAAATTAGTCATCACTTCCTGTGTTTTCATAAGAAAAAATGGCGTTAGGCAAGAGAGACTAGAGATTAAAAGCATCGTCTTGGCACCAGACACATTTGGGTTTGATTTCTGGTCTGGCCCCTTATTTATTGCCATGACTTAGGACAAGTTCTTTAATCCCTCCAAGCTTCTGTTTTTTCCTCTATAAAACGGGAATAAAAACTTCTTCCTTACTTGGAGGTTTTGAGGCTTAATTGAGATGATGTATGTAATGTGCATAGCATGGTGTGAATAATGGTAGCTGTTAAGAATGACAGCTCAGTTTTAAATAGTCTTTCAATTTTGAAATTGTCTTTTCGTTATGGACTGCAGAAGATTCCACAGGTTCTGCAAATAGCCTGTGGCGCACGACTGTGTGAAGCCCTGGTAGCACTATTTTGTTCCTTTAGAAATTAGGGATCTTTCTTTGCAAGTCAGATCCTCTTCTTTCCCAAGATGTCCCATTTCAGCATTTTGAAATATCTGGGCCCATTCTCATGAGCTGTGGCTGAGTGGCTTTTGCTTTTCTCTATGGATCTTCTCTTTTTGGATTTCCAGTCCCCATTTACACTGCACATGGCCCTCCTGTGTAGGTTCTTAGACGAGTCTTTCAGGGTCTCCTTGCCAAAGAGTCACTTTTCATCTTTCTTCCTCAAGACCTGCTCTTTCCAGGAACCGCACCTTGAATTGTATCTGCCAGCTGAAGGCACCCCAAATCAGGGCAGCAGCAAGGGTCATTCCCATCATTTACCCACTGATTTAAGTTATATCTGTGAGAGTTTTACGTTTTGTCCATGTCCATGCCTGAAGTGTACAATGAAGGCTTTACCTTAATAATTCTTAGAGTAATAATAAGACTGACCTCTTTGGTTCTCGCTGGCTGTCCAGTGTTGCTGGGGAAAATCCCCAAACCCTGTAACAGATGTAAGATTTCTAGAGTGAGCAGAGCCCTCAGCACTGCTGAGCAGTCCTTCTCTTCTCTCCTAATCAGCTTGCATTCTCATTTCCAAAGTGCCTTGTTCATACCCTTACCACTCAAGCTCTGCCCAGACCTTGAGACAGAAAATTGAGTGCCAGGGATGCGCTTGTTCAAATTCCCTTTGCTGTTAGTGCCCCCTGTATCTACTTCCATGCTTCCCTGCTGCCTTCCTGCCCTAGTCCCTTGCAAAAGATCCCATCTCCCCTTGCTTATGAGGCCATCATTTCTGCTGGCCTGGCATAGCCAGATAGCCTTTCTCATGCTGCTCAATCCCCCTAACATTCTGCAGATACGCTCGGGTCTTTCCCAGTTGTAGAAAATATCTGAGGCTGGTTTCCTCTTAAGCTACTCACCAGAGGTCCTGAAAGAGTTGTGTGTCCTGGCTTCCCTTTTCTTATCTCCTAGTCACTTCCCGATCCACTATTCCCATTCTTCCACCAATTATGTATTGAGTGCCTACCATGTGCGGGCACTGTACTCAGTCCTGGGATACAGCAAGGAAAAAAACCAGACAAAACCTCTGCCCTCATGGAGCCTACAGTCTAGTGGAGGAGACAGGTAACAGACAAGATAAATTAGTAAAATGTGTGTGTTTTGTTAGAGTGGTAAGGGCTATAGAGTGAAATAAAGCAGGAAAAGGGGAAACAGAACGTTGTGCGATGAAGGGTGGTTGGCAGTGTTAAGTGGGATGATTAGAGAAGACCTCACTGAGAAGGGGATTTGAGTAAAGACCTGAAGGAAGTGAAGGAGAGAGCCAGATGTGTATCTGGGAGAATATGGCAGGCAGAAGGAATGGTGAATTCCAAGGCCCTGAGGTAGGAGTGGACCTGGTGTGTTGAGGACCAGCAGGGAGGTCGCTGTGACTGGAAGAGGGGGTGAGGACAATTGTGGAAGGTGGTGAGGTCTCAGGGTAATTAGGTAAGGTGGGGGCAGGTTGTGTAGGGCCCCAGAGGCCATTGTAAGACTTGGGCCTTTCCTCAGAGTGGGATGGGTGGGTTTTGGAGGATTTTGTGCAGAGGAATAACACAGTCTCACTTCTGTTTTAACAGGATCACTCTG